GAGCCTCTGCCAGTACTCCATCTGGAGTGTTTCTTCTTTAGGCTCGCGTGTTAGACCAACAAGATAGGCCTTTTCATCTTCCAACCAGCGCTCGAAAACACTCACATCAACTACCCTGAGATCTTGCATGAGTTTTGGTAGCGCTGCATTACCATCATCGAGGATGTCTAGAGCTTGCTTGTAGTTGTTGTACAAAAAATCGGCTAATTGAATGAGTGATTAGCAAATGAATATCACGTGTCAAAATATAGCTCACATAGATTAGCATATACTTCTAAGTCGTCGTTGTGTTCGAAAAAAGAATCGATAGCTTGTTGGCGATGGAAAATACTCGTGTAACGTAGTGCGGATGCCAAGGAATTCGATTTTGAGAAAGTCCGTTCGCACGTCTCCAGATCTTCCAGTCCCAGACCTTTGGTATACGTTGTGAGTGAGAAAAGTTGGCACAAACGCCTGTGGGCATGTCCATGAAAGGCCCCAACAAGGCAGGTGTGATGCTTCGAACGTGTGAGGGGTCCGAGGGAGCTTTTGTCGAGAGTAGTCTTGAACTGACAGCTGATGTCATATCCGCCTCCTAGATTAGTTCCAAATACGTTCAGCAACTTCGAAACCACGGCCAAAGGATATTTTGCACTGCCGAGCAACAATCAGTTGACAAACGAGCTAAAAACTAAATAAAACTCACAGTTCCCCACTCTGTACCATGTCTGCAATTAGCAGGGAGAATCCATGGCAGCACACGGCCAAAAAGATGCCTGTTTCATCGTAAATCCCCCATGCTTTCTTTGTTTTTGTGTCATCCATATTCTTCCAGCGTCCTTCGCACAAATTCTCTATATGTATGTCCTAATAATCTTAATTAGCAGTTACTAACGCAAATAGAACACACCTCTTACCCCGTCGCCTGCAGTACTAGAGTCCGATGCAAACTGGTCAACGAAGGTGCGAGATAGATAGCGGTCAGTCCTGAGTTGCTGTCCCGTCGGGAGTTCACATGATGTACCGAGAGAGTCGTCCGTATCAAGGGTTCTTCGAAGGACTCTTTTCAAAGAGTCATTGCTGTCCATGGCATAGAGCAAGCTGAACTTTAATTTTACTTCGTCCGTTAGCACATATGTACATGCAGGGCAGGCATGTTTGAGTCGCCAGTCGGGTGAGTCCCGCTGAAGCGACTCGGCTACCATGGCTGCAACCGCGCGTCGAACGTCGAGGTATAAGTCGAATGCGATGGAAAATTGACGAGAAAGATATCTGTGAAATCCCACCTATGTGTGATCAGAGATCAGCTTAGAACAAAAAAAACAAGCACACACCCCACGCAAGTCGCTCATTGATTTGATGAAGGCCTGGATGGACAAGTGGGGACTCCTAAGGTGCATTACACGATAAAGATCCAGGGCTTCTGTAGTAATGCCCACAGTAGGCGATATAGGCAAGCAAGGCATCACGCCTTGATGGACGAAGGCAGAGGCAACGGTGCAGTCGGAAGATAGTATCTTAACAGTAACTTTGTCAGCATCTATAGAGAAGTACATCAATGCCGTCACACGAGTATATATATACATACACAATAGTAAGCAATTGAAATCGAAGCAAACACTCACAGAATACGTCAATGACATTGATTGTCCATTGTCCAGTAGGCTTACTCTCTGGCAGGTGAGTGTCTGCACTTTGCAGCCGGTCAAAAAAGCCGCTAAAGTCTGCCTTGGATTTTTCCAAGCTCCAGGTAAGGTACACATCGGTCATGGCAAGCAACTGCGAAGCAAAAGCCTGGTTCCTACGTAGAACGCGGTCACGGCGTGTACGATTATCAATATGGCGTCGGCCACGAGCTCGATCCTTCCTGCCATTTAAACAGGTGTGTCAATGCTTTACTCTCTGGTAAGTACTAGCATTACTTACATATCCCAGAAGTCTCCCAAAAGACTTGTCGCAAGATCAGCAAACTCGCCACCAGTGTGGCTGATGGGCAATAGTTCGGAGCCGTTCAAGACATCACCGAAGTCCATTTGTTCCGATTCATCCTGCCACACATCCTCTGCGTTTTGGTCGTCTTTCAACACTTCCAGAGCTCGATGTTCATCAGCGCTCATTTCTATATACAAGGTTAGTTTCAATTTTGTTTGAAACTGAAATTAGCCCTGAGCCTTGCCTTCCAGACATATTTTCCGGCGTTCATTCATACTTGCGGCCTGCTTGACCAACTCCCGATGCTTGAGTACCTTCGAGACTGAGTTAACAGGCAGGCCGTGTTTGTCCCTCGAGGACTTGATGTATCGGATGGATCGCAAGGAAATATTCGTTCGAACACGTTGCCGCTGTCCATGAGTTCCCATTGTCTCCAGCCCTCGTCCGAGTCTTGTGTTGGTAAGATTTTGTCTTTTCAATTCATGTGACTGATTATTGCATAGTGTCTGTTCACCCCACACCTCATTACACTCATCATGTCGTGCCATTTGAGCCCTCCATTTACTCGCTCTCCCTCCCGGGACAATCACATCCAAGACTTGCACAATTTGCTCAACAGTATGACTCTGTCAGGTATGTATTTTGTTTTAATTCTAACATCGAAATACTAAAGCTTCCTGGTAGATTCGCCATTTAACACTCTCACCTGGACTCGCAACACTACCGAGTCCATCACCTTATCAGGATCTTCACACGCGCGATCTGCACACACCAGTGCTCCCAGCGGAACAAACCTTGGATCCCCGTCTCCTCCCACCACAACAACTTCTCAAACACCCCTGCAACCTCGGGCCCCTAGACCATCTAATAATATCTCAGTAACTCCATACGCCCCATCCCAAACCATTTATTCACCAACAGTCACACGAATAGCCTCCAAAGTCCCGCTTGTTCCAAAGCCAGAGGAGATCTGTCCACCGCGAGCTGGTCTCAAACCTGATGGTTTCTGGGTCATCACAGTCGGACAAGAAGTGGGCATTTTCTACCACTGGTACGTGTTGTGTCATCCCTTTGGCTTGTGGTATCTAATTTAATATTTACTTCAGGGCTGATGTCGCGGAACGCACGAATTTCATCAGCGGGAACGTTCAGAAACGTTACCCATCATTCCAGGAAGCTCTCAAGGTCTACACTGTTAAATTTAATGAAGGCAGTGTGCGCGCAGTCCCCATTCCAGGAGGCCCATTCTGGCCATCCTCTCCTTCACCCTCACTGTCAGCGGAGTCAGATGAAATGTGGTCACAGGTTGATGATCTGTCCGAGACCATGAGCCAGTTTGGATTTTGAATATTCTTAGTTTGACTCGCTTGTAGTAGAATAAATCAATGCATTTTTCAATACGCCTACTGCTGTCCTGCAGGTTGGTGAACACAATGTGTGATGTATGGCAATTGTGTGATGTATGGCATATCTACAAGCTAATGTACTAAGGGTTTTGTGTGTGACACTTGCAATGACAATCAAATGACAAGCAAATGACAAGCAAACCGCCATGGTCATAAATGCTCTACATCACTTACAACACTTTCTTGCAGCTTCGGTTCAAGGCTGCATGTCTGGTTCTGACCATAAAAGTGCTTCCCTTATTCAAAATATTGTAATAGGCTGTTATTGACGATCTGTTAAGACCATGCACAAAGGGTAGGACTGATTCCAAGGGGCTTGGCTTCAGCTCGTGCGCTGCGCCCCTTACCTGAGTATGTGCCCTTAACTTCAGAATGAAGTCTGGAGAAAGTCCAGTGAAGTCCGAAGGACTTCCGGAGGAGCGTGGGAAACTTCGGAAGGACTTTCCGGACGAGTGCGAGAAACTTCCGGATGAGTGCGGGAAAGTTCCGGAGGAACTTCTGGAAATTACGATGGAGTTTCGTCCTGACGGGGATATGTGTAATGGCTACTCAGGACAAGTCCTGAGTAGAAGCAAACAGAGGAAAGGCTGCAAGGACAAAGTCCGAAGCAGAATAGGTCCGGAGGACCGCGGGAAAGTTCCGGAGGAACTTCCGGAAACTCGGATGAGTGGATGAGCGGAGGAGCGGAGGAGCGGAGCTCCGGCCTAGGGAATTCCTCCCTAGGCCTGAGATGGATAATGACTAAGTCGGAGGACTAGAACTGTTACGAGGACTTAGGGTGAAGGCTAGTGCGAGGACTAATATGTGTAATATTCAGACTGAGGAAGTACAAAGATTCTACAGAGTTTATATACTACAGAGAACTTAACGGAGAGTCAGTCAGCGCAGTCCGAAGCTATGCGAGGCTGTGGACGGAGGATGTAGACAAGTCAAACACTAGTCTATCGGAAAATAGTAAATGAAGACGGAGATGAAGACATAGGAAAATAAAGCCGGAAATGAAACGAGGTACGGAAAATGAGGAAGTCTAACTCAAGAAGGAACATACAAAGGGATAAGGCACGGAAGATAGACGCGGGTCGGATCCGGAAGATAGATGTGGGTCGGATCTGAATGTTCGGAAGTCCGGAGACAGGTAATTACCATAAGGGGATGGGCGCTGATTTAAGGTTTGGGTTAGGACATGACAGATAGGTCGGATCCGGAGATCCGGAGATGTGGATATCAGATCTGGCGTCCGGATATCAGATGCAGGAGTACAGGGATCCGGACGGATAGAGGATTTGGTCTGGAGACATGGACAGGAGGTCCAGAAGTCCGGATGAGGCATGGGAACATCGTCGGATGTTGGTCCGGAATGCGGGATATGACACGATCCCAGGCATCCGTACGCAGATGTTTGCTATATGTTCACTATATGTTCGCTACAGTTCACTATATGTTCGCTACAGTTCGCTATATGTTCGATATGTGTTCGCTACAGTTCGCTGTGTTCGATATGGGTTCGCTAGCGAACCCATATCGAGCCCATAGCGAACTGTAGCGAACACATATCGAACATATAGCGAACTGTAGCGAACATATAGTGAACTGTGTTCATTCTACCTTCACACTTCATCTGTTCTGATGCTTGAAGGGGCTCTACATTGATAAAATAATACTAGTTACATCCTGTATCTAGTTTTACCTCAAAAATTTGACTTGTGACACGACACAAACGAGTAAATCATATAGTAAGATACCATCATACTTAAGCTGCTCCCTGCAGTATGGGCAATGTGTGCGCACGACATCATGGATGCTCTCGAGTAGCTCCTTCCCATCTATAATATGTTGTGCGCACTCGTCAAGGAATGTGGTGGTGGCGTGTTCCCCCTCTATGCGAGCACGCCCAAGTTCATCGTCGAATGCCTCATTCCACGCACTCTCTGATTCCCACTCTTTCTGCCATTGTCTGACAGTGTTCTCTATTGTTTGCAGTGTGGGAACGTCACAAGAACAAGGAAGGTCGTTGTCCATGGTGAGCACAGAGTCATTGCCCTCGTAAGAGAAATCGTCGAATGAGGTTTCAGCGTCGTAAGAGAAATTGTTGAGTGGGGGGGAAGCGATGGCAGCGACGGGTTGTTGTTCAGTGTTGTAAGGGAAATCATAAGACTGATCATCTTCACAATCTGACCGGGAATCATGCGAAATGTTATCGCAATCGAGTGGGGGGGATCCAGTGCCAGGAATGCACGGATTTTGCTCTGCGGAAGGTTGCATTTGCAATTTTTTTGCCCTGTTACGAGCCACTCGAAGACGTGCCTTCGCGTTTTGGCTGTCTCGAATTCTGCAAGGTAAGGTGAGCAACATTCTCTGTGGCTAAAACCGGCTTACCCTGGTTTGGCGAGCCAACACTCTGTAGCTAAGCGTTGCCTCAAAGCAGGACTGCAGGACTTGTCCCGACGACCCTTTGAATTCCAACGTCAGATAAATCACAGGTGCGAGCGTTTGAGCTTACCATGTTGCAAAATTGAAAGAGAAAGAGACAGTCTCTGGCCATGGTGAGATACTGATGAGCGATAATATATGTCTTGACGACATGATTGATCTGCGAAAAAAATTGAAGGTGAGATGGTTGTTGTCTTGTGACAATCAAAAATATATATGTTTTGACAGTATCTGTCATTCGAAGGTATGAGTAAGACAGCGGCTGTCTTGCACCTCGACTCAACTACTATATTTAGACATGTTGTAGGTCCCAGGTTGTCCAAGATTTGCGCTCTTGACTGGTGTCTGTTTGACGACCCGTATACTACAACTTGCTGGTGTGGGGCTCCAAGTCCGACAAACCAGACCAACAATAACCTCGACATGCTATGGCATCTCTTTGAATTCCCTAGGCTCAACTCAAAGACGCTATGGTGTCTGTTTGACGCCCCATATATTACGACCCGCTGGTGTGGGGCTCCAAGTCCGACAAACCAGAGCAACAATAACCTCGACAAATCTACAGCAATTTTTTCGGATCAGCTCGGAATATACCTCGACAAATATATCACCTCTGCAAGGCAAGTGACTATGTCATTGTGAGCGGATTGCTGATGCGGGGCTCAGTGCTGACAAGCTTTGAATTCCTAGTTGTGTCTGTAGTTGGCATTGGGACTCGAAGAATAGCAGACAGGGACCTGAGGCGTGCAACAAATGTATGTCTTGTCAATTTCATGTTCTGCACTGCCTCATGTACCTGACGCGTTGTAGAAACAACAATACTGAGAGGAACAAACAAAGCTCCTGACTGTATCTGAAAATGTTGTAAGGTCGCGCGTTGCCTAGTCTGCTATACTTGAGACGACAAGTGCGTTCGACCCTAAAGGGGAAGCGAGTGCAGCAAGGATCTAGTAGTGCGCGCTGAAGGCGCTACTGGTCGGCTGATGCGAAGCGCGGGAAAGCGCGCAGGTGCACGCGAGGCACGGGAAAGCGAAGGTACGTGCGAGGCGCGGGAAGCGCGCGCGCGCGTGAGCAGAAGCAAGTGAGAGTAAGTGTGAGTTTGCTTAAGTGGTGATATGATGCAAGACAAGAGATATGAGCGCGAGGTGTCAAGGAATAGATTGCAACTATACTCTGCTAGGTAGTATGTGGGTGGTAAGTGGGAGGTAAAGTTATTGTTGGAAAGTTTCTCATAGTATGTAATGCTGGCGCTTATATACGGCGCCTAAGCGCTGTCACGCGGAGCCGAAGCGCTACCGAGTAAGGTATGTAAAGCTATATGTAAGTAAGGGTCCATGATAAAATTAAAGGTGGAACGATACACAGATAAGAGAAATGGAAACATACGCACTAGAGAACTTGGTGGACAGTGGATGGATGCTTCCGGATGGCTGGCGCTATAGGGCGCTCAAGCGCGGGAAAGCGCGCGCGTGTATACATCGTAAAGCGCGGGAATGGTGCGCGCATGGCGCGCGTTGCACGGGAAAGCTGCGCCTCATATAGGGATAGCTGCAGATAGCACACAGAATGGTGCTGCAAGTTCGTGCAATGAACTCCCTAGTGAAAAGTGCCATATCACACCATGAGAGGCATGAGTCTCTACAGCGTCGTGGCTTGTTTATTTGCATCATCGCGTAAAATATTGTAGGCACATCTACATCTCAACACTGCACGTCTGCACCCCAACACTTCCTCACCACTGCGCCTATGATGGATCATATTTTTTCAGCGGAAAACTTTGATTCCAATGGTGATTTTACTGCTCCCTCGTTCAATGAGATTAACTGGGAGGACCCAGCGCTCTACACTATGCCGCTTACAAGCGAGGAACTAGCTACACTTACCAAGGACACGCCCACCAACTTGCCGCTCCTTCCAGGGTTCATCACCCATTCCTCACTCCCTGACCCTCCCACTCGCACACCATCACCCCACCCGTCTGAAGCCTTGACCCCTAATCAAACCTCACCAAGTGCCAACTGTGCAGGGCCGCTTCGTGAGGGGAATTCATCCACCTGGGCAGCACGCAATCCCACACGACCTGTTATTCGTCCTCAGACGCCACCACCTCGGCTGACGGATGCACAAAAAGCATCCCGGAAGATCAAGAGGGACCAGAAGAGGGAGGCGACAAAAAGCTTACATGATGGTATCTCTGAGTACCTCGACGAGCAGAGGGTGAAAATAGAGGTGCTCACCCGAACTCACAATGTCACCCCAAAACACATCAATGACATCATCAGCGTCCACACGAATTACCACAACTCCTGCAAGCCCCAGTTGATCAACGCGCTTATTCATGCGAAGGCAAAGGAACTAAACGCCGGTAAGTCTTTTGATGTTCTCAATATGATATCACTGCTTATCTTATGACAATCAGATAAACCTGCAGGGTCCCGTTACACGTTGGCTGAGCTCCGTGAAATGGTCACAAATGACCCTCAAATGAACAAATTGACGAAAGAAGAAAAGGCCTCTTACATAGAGGCCCTCAATGAGCATCGCGACAAGAAGGCACTTGGTGTTCGTGCGAATAATTCCGCAGCTGCGCGAGATGTGGTAGCCACAACAGAAAGACTCATGAAAGAGGTATGTTTTTTTTGAATATTTACGTCTACAACCAACTAAAATAAACTTATACTAGCTGGATGACCTACGTGTTCGGACTGGCATCTATGCGACATTATTTGTCGTTCGTGGTCACATCAATGGCACGATCCAAAGCACCATGCATGGCACCGACAATACAGAAGACTTTTGGGAAGACATTTACAAGCATCCAATGGCAGATTTTCTGCGTCAATATGAACAATGGGCATGCACACAGAATCAGAGTAAGTCTATACATTATATATACTTGCCTGGCCATCATTGAATGTCGTGCAGATCTTAACGAGCGTGAGTCTTTGGAGGCAATGTGAAAGCAAGTGCGTAAAATGATCTTCCGTGGGTTATGTGAGTGATTGTGTTGTTTTGCATGTGCTGGCCCCATCTGACACTGTTTTCAGTTGCAGTGACCGGTAAAAAGGATATCGCCATGAACTACCATAACTACGAAACCACGATCGTCGAAACTTATGGAGTGCGCCTTGTAGGATGGCCCCACGGGGTCAACTTCATTAGTCCTTCGAACATTGGAACAGTTGGCGACATTCGGAAGCTTCGAGATGCACTCAAGAGTCGTATCTGCTACTGGACAGTTCTCTCGCCAGCAGAAGTTAAATCCCACGCAGCTGAACTCAACACGTGCCGTTTAGCTGGCAAAATTGTTCGCAAGCCACGCAAGAAGTGTTTGGACTCTGGAGTGCCTCGAAAGCGCAAGGCACCGGCTACCGCAGGACAGGCTGGCCAGGAAAATCAGAGGGTGTCAAAGAAGGCGAAAAGAACCACTCCACAGCTTCGCCAAGCCCCCAAGAGCTCTGAAGTTGTTGAGTCATCTGACGGACTTGAAGATGAGTAATAGTACTGTTCCATTGCCGTAGTCTAGTTTATGGACATAAATGTATTCCCTACGTACTAAAATCATCACTGGTGCATGTGTCGTCGAAACGTGGTGTCGATCCCATTACTTGAACGTGAGACATGCGAGCTCGTCGCGTCGCACAGCGAGCTCGTCGCATCGCACAGCGAGCTCGACGTTTCATATATTATTAGCCGACGCTGGGAACACGTCATGTCATTTGCCGATATGCCGGCAGCACCCAGTCCTATAGTCCTGTTGGTATGTAAAGTCCCTCTTTATCCAGGAGATATTGAAGGAGGCGGTGATCCGCTGAATTTGCCTGACCTTAAAGGTGCGAGACCCATCTACTATCACCTATAATAAGAGCATTTACGTGGGAATCACAGGTGGTCGTCACGGCGAGAAGCAGTGGCCTGCTCAAATACAGTCAGTAGTCCGAAAGCACCAAAGCTCAATTTCTACCTTATCAAGCAGGGACACAGTAAGCTGATCACCAACGCACATGATTATCCCATGTTTTTGAATGTCCTCCGATGACATTTTCAGTCAATCATCTCCAATGCTCTATCAATACTGGACTCGTAAATATGCATTGCTGGCAAAGGGTATTGCTCGGTCTGGTGAACTGGAATGGAGAGCACAACTGGGGGTGCTTTGAGTCGTCCGCGAACTTTCTACGAAGGGAAGGGAAAGTGTTGAAAAGAATGTCGAGAATATGTCAATGAGATGCAGCCTCAAGCTGCTGGAGCAGCTGGACCTGTTCAAGGGATGGAAGCAAGTCTTGTGGTCTGAAGTCAATTACTGGAAGCTGTGTGAGCCGAGGTGGGAGGAAATCAAGTGAGAGATGTCCGTTCGGAATATCAATGAGTGGGATGAGTGTCGCAGTAGTGCCATTGTCAAAATGGTCTTTAGAATCTTTCCGTTGTTCAGAGACTCGAAAGGCAATACTCAAGTTATCCCATACTATCATAAATGGGCGAACTTTGACAAGAGCCTCAATCTTGTTCAGGCGCTCTGTTCCCATCTTTTTCAGGCAGTAGACTGCCTTGGTGTACGAAGATGTAATTCCAGCATGGTGTAAGACTTCAAACATGGAGTGTGATGCTCCGCATGCAAGAAGGTAGATGCACATCATAGTTTGGAATTCATTAGAATGTTCATTACGACTTTGAGCAAGCATGCAGAGTATAGTTGTGAATACCTGCATAAGATAATATTCATAAACGAGGCCTGTACATGATGTATCAAAGACTTAGACCTACCAGTCCATGATTACGGCGTGTCGAGGTGAGGCCTCATCGAACCCTCCCTTCGCCAACAACTTGCACAGAGTTGGTGCTATGTCTTGGGCTCTCGCCTGTATTCTATCCAAAGACCACCTGCCTAAAATCTCGGAAACACCTTCTCCACGAGACGGTCGCAAGAATTCTGCTAATACTTTGCCCTCCCTCGCAACCATGTCAGCAACAGAGTTGGCAGCCTACACACGCAACACATCGGGACGACGTTGGTGCATAAGCGCGAGAATTTCGCCTCTGTGTGCTCCAAGCATTCTTGATACACGAGCAGACTGTTGCTGGTCTGTGGTTGACAGGAGAGCCTGAATAAAGGAGTGAAGAGTAGGAAAATGTGAATCTACAGCGAGCAAAACAGCTTGAAGGTGTCCTTCGGATAGCTTGCTTGCTTGGGCATTGGCTTCGGATTGGAGTTCTTCGGTTCTTTGTGCTTCGTTTTGCTTCCGTTCTTCTACCAGTCTGGCTTGCTCAACCTGCAGCTCCTGAGCAGACAGCTTCGCCAAAACACGCCGGATTCTCTTCTGTGGGGGTGCAGATGTGTCGAGAATGTTGAAGACTAGATTTTCATTGTTTCTGGTATGTTTTTGCTGCACCATTGTGACAAATACAGATGGAGAGGACGCGATGACCTGCACCAAACTGGTTCAGTGCATGGATGACTGATACTCTCCTATGAGCCCTATGCCCTATGAAATCATTTTCTCTATGATCTGAAGTCAGACTGAGGCTAAGGGAATATTTTTCGTTTTTACGAGTTTGCATGCGAGCGGACTGAATATTTTAGTACATTTAATTCGGCAATGAGTTTTGCTTAGTCAGCCATGGTGATGACCCAGACAAAACTCCCACGCATGTCAGGTGACTGTGAAAAATATTTCCCACATATGTTGTCCTGGAAAAACATTCGTAAAACCCTAAATACTAGGCTCGCGTCATTTTCACCCTTCAAACAAAGCAAAGAAAAGACAGACACACAAAGGATTCACATCATGTGACATTTCTTACCCTCTTTCTGGACTTGTCATCAGGAGTTGGATAGGTCACATGACTAGTAACAAGCCAGGATGACTTAGCAAAATACCCAATGACTCATTATGACTCACTCTGAATATATGACTCACTATGACTAGAAATAACTTTGAACTGACTCACTATGACTCACCCTGAATATATGACTCATTATGACTCTTTATGACTCTTGAATATACTAGTAGCACAGCCACATTTATTGTGTATATAATGACCCCAGTTTTGAAGCAACCAAGAAGCAACCAAGTGGGAGTTTTCAGCCCATCTAACATTAAGTTGTGAGTAAGGTGTGACAAGTGTCAGCATCAGTGTCAAGAACTGTTCAAGACTGAGAGGAACATTCTCAAGAGACAGTAATACTGCAAGCTCATCATACTAAACGACTAGCTGCGAGCTCACTGTGTGCAACAACCAGCAAGCAAGGTACAGCCACAGTTTTAATTCACATTTCTATTTTCTTTTTCTTTTCTTTTCTCTTCTGTTTTACTTTCACCAGCCTTTGGTGTTCTTTTTCCAAAAAGCATATTCCAAAATATTCGTGTTGTCTCTACGTCCACCTAAGACTCAGAGTAGCTTAGTGGGGAGACTTAAGGGATTGATAGTGAAGCTTGACCTCACTCATCTGAGTAGTGATACTGAGCCAAGGTTTTCTGTGCCTGCTAGGCTTTAGCTGTTGAAGAGGGGACTTGGTAGTAAATCCAAGGACGTCCGTTCCTGAGTCTGTTTGAATACTCAAAGTGAGTTCCTTGACAGCAGGTTCAATATTGAGCTAAGAGTTCTACAATAAAGCATTGGACTAGTCTTGACCTTTGATTCTACCTGTTTTGTGCTGAGGGGGTTGATCATTGTAATTCCGCACCATTCTTTTTGGAGTACAGTTTGGTAAGAGGCCCTGTTGTTGAAAGGAAGCTTGAGGGAGAACTTTCTATTTCTTTGGTTACTGCCATACTGTCGGGCTGACCATTATTTGTTTGTTTGTTTGTTTCTGTCAAGTCCATAGATTGGATTGACCATCGTATTTACTAATCTTGCAGAAGTATCTTTAGCTGAACGTACTTTGGGTAGTATACAACTAGCCACCCACGAACGACCACATTATCAGTCATTGGTATTTGTCTGAATCACTGACCATGGAGATATTTGTTTTTATAGGTGTTTATCTATAGATCATCTATCTAAGAAGACAGCGACGTGTTCATGAGCTAGGCTAGACTTCTCTCAGAAGCACACCGCGGTACCATTTTTTGGGCACTAGGAAAATGCTGCGCCACTGCTGCGACTACTGCGCGGCATCTGCCGCAACGTTCGCTAAGCAGTAAATTGACTCACGACACTTGCCTATTGCTTGCCACATCATACCCTGAACTCTGCATCGCTGCCTTGAAGGATTTTGCATGATTAATATAAAGTCACTTGGTTATTACTGACTCTCTTGCTGCTTTATCAACTTGCTCGTTATCCCTTCGAAATCTTATGTCCCGGCACATGTCTTGAACTGTGTTAATCTATATAGTGTGTTCCAACTTCCAACTTCCGAGTCCCATATTTCAGACTTGTGCATTCTGGTTTCTGAAATGATATGCAAATCCACCACTGAAGTATGTATTCTAATGCACGAGTCTGCAATACTATGATGCACAACATAACTGCTGAAGGACCATGTATTACACAACTCGAGTTCATTTTCAGTAGTGTCGCAGCACCATGTTGTGGGCGTTGCAGTCGTCGTGGGCGTCGCGGGCACCATATCGCAGCACCCTCTTTGAGGATCACTTAGACATGTTGATGGGGTGGAGTGAAAGATCAAAGGTAACAAATGTATTTGATTAAGTCCAGAGAACATGTTACATTGAATGAGTAGAGATAGTTTTCGGGCGAGGACGCGCAGTGTCATCCGGCCCCGAGGGGCTAACCTGAGGTGGAGAGGTGAGCTGTGATTCCCAAATGATTAGGAGGACTGACGACGCATCCAGCGAGGCTCGGATACCCCAACCCCTGCAGGAGGAAAGGACTTACATTGTGTAATGCCCTGGTATGTTCTAACGGACTGGGGGAAGGTTCATGGTGTGACGCAAGAATTGCTCTTGCAGCGCGGGGGTAGCTTGCATGTAGGGAGCTAGGATTTGTGCATGGCGGCGCAGATACACGAGGAATGCGTCGCTAGCCCAGCGGCCTTTCACTTTCACAACGTCGAAGGGCACATTTCGAAGAAGATATTCGAGCGTTGAACCAATTCTAATGCCATGGCCTTGTACTGGTTGGCGACCGGCCGCTTTTGTTGCAGATGCTAAGCGTTGCAAAAACTTGGACTTTGTTAGTGGTCGGTGAGAGTTGTTGTGGCGATAGGCAAAGAGAGCGCCATTTTGGAGTGGATCATTGACGCGGAAATGGTTTGCGAGGGCTTCTTCTGGGTCAGTGGGACCATCTTGCCTGGCCCAAGATACTTCTTCTCCCTCGATTGCGCTCTTCATTCGAGGGAGGAAGAAGCTTTTCATTGGGAGATTCTGCTGGTCTTGGGTATCTCTGACATTGGAGGGTTTGATGTGTATCATTGGGTCGAAAGCATCGAGGCGAGGAACTGTGAATTCGCTGGCACGAGCTGTGGCATAGAACATTGTTGTCAGACACGCGAAAACCGCCGCGTCGAGGGGATTGAGGAGGTCTAAGTGCTGGCAAATAGCGGTGATCAGCTTAATGGTGTATGGTTCCCGCTTGCTTCTCTTTGTGGAGGCAGGTGCAAGAGCTGTGGAAGCTTTGAGGAGGGTCTCTATCTCCATTTCATTGAGGGACCACATTAGACCGTGCAGGACGTGCCAGGCGCGGACGCCGCAGATGTAGTTCACAATTGTCTTGCCCGAATAATGGCCTGCCATGGAGGTGATGAAAGAGGATATTAGGATGTGACTTGCGGGAGCGCGTTGCTCTTCGGGGATGCTCTTACTGTCACAGAAGACGTGGAAGGTTAGTAAACCTGATCCATACGTCTCGCGCGTTGCTTCTGTGTACGCATGGATCATTGTGTCACGAATGCGATGGAGGTCGGCTGGGGGTAGGGAAACGATTTTGCCTTTCTCGTCTCATAAGTTTCGAGAAGTCATTGGATTCCAGAGGTACAGTCTTTCTCTTGTGGGGCAGTGAGGACGGAGAGAAGATGGGAGGGGGGTGAGGCTTGAGTTATAAGCTATTGTTGGAGTGAACTGGTTAAGATGAACAGTGGTGGGAGTCCGCGTTGGACTTACTAGTCTTGCGACACTTTAAACAGCTCCTCTCCCCTTCGCTCGAAATCACGATTGATGAGGGCACGGTGATGGAGTTCTGAGTCTGGGTGGTTCCTGCCCACTGTGTGAAGCGGTTTGTTGGCTGGATGACAACATTTTGATCTGGAAGTTGCAATGGCTTCAGAGACCTCCTTGACGAAGGGTCATAGCTCTGCTGGGAGGTCGACTGGGGGCAACAATAGACTTGTGGGGGGATATATCCCGCGGGAAGGGCCGTCGGCGGGGTTGTCTTTGCTTGGTATGTACCTAGTAAGAACTGAGCACTTGGAACTAGCGATGACTTGATGAACGCGCTTGAAGACCTCGTTTGAGGCGCGGTTTCTGCTGTGTCCTGTCCACCAGCCTTCGACAATGCCCATGTTGTCCCCGTAGACCTTGAAATGAATTCCGGAGGCTTGAGAGCGGACGAGAAGCTCGAAGCCAACACTTTCAGCCCACCCGATGTCACGTCCATCTCTCTTCCATTCGGGAATGAGGTCCCAGGCTCTCCAATGCCCGTTGATGAAAATGCCGATCCCATGGCCAGAGCTAGCGTCCGAATAGGCATGGAAGTCATATACAATGCAGGGTCCGGGAATTGGGCGGGAAATGTATGCATTGCTGAGGATGTTCTTCCACCAGCGGATGTCATCTGGTGTGTTTCATGGTGGGGTTCGTGGGAGAAACAGACGGTCGCTAAAGGTGGCCAACATTGCCTCGAGGTTGGTGAGGTAAGCTCGGCCAGCGGGGATAATGTTTGCCGTGTGTAGCAGCTTGTCGTAGAGCTTCTGTACCTCGCGGAGTGTGTGAGTATGTTTTGACTGCCATCCTGCGATGGTGAGGAGATACTTTTCTCTTTTCTCGGTAGAGAGGTCCACAGTGCGTGTTGCGATGTTCCACATGAAACCAGTGAATAGTGGACTGCTAATAAAGGGTTTGTCTTTCGACAATTTCCAGGGAATGCCCAACATTGATGAGAAATGATTGATGTCATCGACGCAGTAGGTGAAAGCTTCGTCTTCCTTCGATCGGGGGGAACATTGTGATAAGTCTTTGATCGGGAATGATGCGTCCTCATCAAACTCTTCACTAGATTTGTTAGGCATTGTAGCTCCTTTGTACCACTTACAACCGCCGTTAACAATAAGTCCCCGTTTTCAGCGATCTCCTTTGCCCACTTAGCGCATCTATCATTGTATTCCTCGAGGTACTCGTGTTTGATGCGGAGAAAAAGGTGATCATCCACCCATTTAGAGGCTGGGCCAATGCCTTTCACACATAGTATGTCCAGACCGGCATCACTAATATTGCCGTATATGCCTGCAGATGGGCCGAATCCGAAGCAGAGCGAAGTATCGACTGCAAAGGCATCGTTACCTGGGAGGAGGATGGCCAGGCCAGCCCATTGGGAGTGGTGGAGAGGGACGGTGCGATATGCTTCCACCACGTCTCGCACTGCGCCTTGAGATCCTGGAGGGAGGCGCCATATAGCCAGACAGATCGTTGAAAAGGTTCCGTACGTACAAGGAAAGAGGTTGGAGTTGACTCTCGAATTAATGGAACTAATACTTTGGGATGGGTTATGAGGGAATGATAGATTTTGAATGAGGCGATATTTGCCTGGTTTTCCTGGCTTAGGTACAAGGGAGAGAGGAGCGGTTTGGAATGGACCGACGATTGACTCAAGGTCTTGCGCTGTGAAGGGTCCGATAAAGCGGCCTTTTTCGAACTCAATATTGACAATGCTCCAGAAGGCTTCGGGGTGCTCTTCAATGGAGGGGTTTTTGGGGGGTTTGTATGTATATTTGACTGGGGGAATGCCCCCGGAGAAACCGGACACCAGACATTCGAGTATATGAGGGTATCTACTAATAAGCCCTGTTTCCTTGAGAAGGAGGGCCCAGCCGTCAAGCTTGTATGGCGTGAGAGCCTTGCGCTTTCTCTCCTCGAGGACAAGCTTGAGCGCCGTGCTCCTTGCTGCCGCATCCCGAACATTCGTGGTGAAATTCGTGATTTCCGGTGTGGCATCCGTTGGGGCGCTGCCATTTGAAACAAAGGGGGTTCCCTTGGGGATTGACGAGGCGATTGTCCTGTGTCTTTCGACAATAGGAGGAGCTTCCGTCCCACAATGTTGCGGAGTCGCAGTGTTGGATGTCGTGGGAGAAACGGCCAAGGCATACGGCGCAGGCTGACCGGCCGCGAGAGCCTGCGCTTTGGGAAAAATCCCTTTTGCATTGGTGGCGATTCCTGGATTTATCTGGGGATGGTTTCTGGTTGTCGTTTCCTGCCCGGGGAGGAGAGTGTGATCGCGAACTTCGGCGACTGTACTCCTGGTTATCCCGCCACGAGTCGCGCGTATAGTCCCGGTAGCTGGACTTACGGTTCTGGGTCTGAGCGGGCAGGACTTCATTGGATTTTGGCTGATGACACGAATGAGATGTGATAATATTATATCGTTTGTGTGCACGTGTGAGCATCCATGTGAGCAAAAGTATGGGCATCCGTGTAAGCAGTGTTACAGGCATCCGTGTGAGCAGGGGTATGGGCATCCGTGTAAGCAGGGTTACGGGCATCCACGTAGATGGGATTGTGGGCATCCACAAGGAAATGTGGGCATCCACGTGAGCAAGGGTGCGGGAAGGGTTCATTGGTGTTTGCAAGAGGAGTTTGCAGTATATATAAGATGATGAACTTTTTGAGCGGTACATTGTGAGTAAGTTTAAATGGAAATGTACCGCAGATAATGTTCTGGAACAGATTTTATCCCAGAGTTCCTCGTTGATTGCATGGAGAAGGGTCTCATTGATGATGGCGATGTTGAAGCCTTCGTCGTGTTTGAGACGGTCATGCCAGTCCTGGCGGACACGCGAGGCATAATGGAGAGTAACCATGTCGCCGATATCGCTGTTGTTGCGAATGGGGTGGTTCTCGAGGTGCCAGAAGAAAAGAGATAGGGCGTCGATGTGGCTTTGTGGCCACTTCGCTTTGCTAAGTTGCATTAAGAAAAGGTTCTTTGCACGTAGAAAAGTCGGGAAAGGGAGGTCGTGGTCCGCAATGGCTGATTTTGAAGCTTTGAAGGCGTATGCCGGGCGTATTGTCAGTTGGTCGTCGACCCTAGTGAGGCCGAAGTCGTCTGCAACAGACTGAGCTGTGCGAAGGGCTTCCTTGCAGCCTTCTGGGGAAAAATACCAGAGTTCTACATAGGCAATGTCATGGGTATCTAGCACCCACCGTGGGTTGTGGGTGTGGGTACCCAGGGGTATGGGTGGGGGTAGGCACTTAGGATACCCACACCCCTACCCACACCCACACGGTGGGTATGTATGTAAAAAACTTACTGATGTTGGGTTTTTATTTAGCTTATATCTCTCTCAAATGACTGCCAATTAACAAGGTGAGACTAGCAGTATATTTGTCTCCAGTACTACTACAACATTCATTAAGATATCTAAGTGTGTAGTACCAATCATTCATGTCATACCCATGGGTATACCCTCTATGGGTGTGGGTATGGGTAGCCATCCCTGGTACCCATGAATATACCCACACCCACCAGGTGGGTGTGGGTTTTTGGTGGGTGTGGGTGGGGGTATCACCACAGATACCCATGGGTATACCCATGTCATTCCCTAGTTCTACGTAGTCAAAATTATTGAGTTTTTGAATCGCGTATTGGGATGGGCGCGGTGCAATGGAATCTCCTACTGAAGACGCTTCGTCGAAACCATTCATTTTCGGTTTCTTTTTCTCTGCTTCGACTTTCTCTTTCTCTGCTTCAGCTTCCTGCTGTAAGCGAACTTCTTCCTCTTGGGCCACTCAAGCTTGTTCAGCTTTGGCAACCTGGGCTGCTTCCTGCTCCCTATTTTGGTTCCACTCATCGACTCTCTCGTTGTGTCCATCGGTCCAGGATTGGGTTAGGCGAACAATGACTTCTTCTTGGGTCTGTCCGGTGGCTCTCCGGATGTCGTCGCATATATTTGCGTACGCTGGTCCATCGAAGTCAGGACATGTTTCAAAAGATGGGTTTGCCATGTAGGCTTAAGATAGATATAGAGAGTGCTTAATGCTGGTAATAGATGTGTAGAAATAAAACAAGCACGGTAATACTTCTTAGTGCGAACGGATGTTGTGGCACGGAGACAAGAAGCGCGATGCCACGTCTGATGTTCGCTCGAAGACAAAACTCTATTCCTCCGCTCGTGCCTCGTTACATAATAGACTACCCACCCAAATATGGAAATAAGGTGCCCGCGACAAGGTGCTGCGACACTTGTCAGTACCTCACATTCAATTCCAACTCAAGCTGACTTTCTGCTATCGGTGGCTTGAGCAACTTGTGTCAACAGGAATCGAGGAGGCGATAAGGGACGGAGTGATGATGCTGCCAGTGAGAACTGGCAAGATGGTTTTCGAACATGGCGTACTAGTAAGTGTCTTGGACTCGGAATCATTGTTTCTGATGAGCCAACTTGCCAAACCATCACACGTCCTGCCACATGCAAATTCACACTCATCAGTCAACTGCACGCTGAAGAAAACTCGTTCATCAGGAATGCCCGGAAAAGTCATATACATCCTATACTAATGTCATGGTGGCATATGTTACAAACACAATGACAATTGTGACCATGCCCGCCCTACTCGTATACTACACCTAACGAAAAGTTAGCATGCTCAGCTGCTAATCCTCATGTACATGCCCGAGCTGTGGGGCTGTACACATGTGTCACTGAACTGACTGGACCTCAGCGCTCAGCGCTCAGGAGCGACAGGTAACAAAATCCCATGGAGGACCGAGAACACAAAGAAAGGTGCCAATGACCGCGTCAGGCTTGAGACAAATGCCCGCAACTACGGGAATCAGGGCACCCTTGAGTCCATAGCTCGTTCGGAGGACAAGTACTGGGAGGTTCCAGTGATTAGCAGTAAGTAAGTGTAGTTAATGCGCACTCACCATTTAGGAACATCGCAGCAGTGGTGGCGGCAGTTGCCGCGCAGCAGTCGCAGCAGTGGCGCAGCATTTTCACAATGCCCCCGTCTTTGGTATATGCGGAGTTTAAAAGTGTACTCTACTGCTTCTAAGGGAAGTTCTTCCAGACGCATTCCCTTCTCAGACAAGGCGGCTGGTTCACGAGACTACTCATGTATTAGCGTCGCTTCTTTATCCGTTTAATCACATACGCTTTCAGTCTGATTCGGTTCTAGTGTTTCCACTCGTCATACACGAGTGGTTTCCAAATTCCACGAGAGCACCATTATACTCATAGGATAAAAGCCTAGGATCAGCCCCATCAGAGAACCTGTGAGAAGAAGATATCGTAATATATAGGAAAGGTTTTCGTCACATTGGAATATAACGCAATATATGACTATGTAAAAGTACCATAATCAGCATAATCCCCAGCAAGAACTCACCGGTTTACTGATGCCCAGGTTCCTCCCATCCATAGACTTTTGCAATACTATTGGCAACTCATCAGCTACTATGTAGTCTTTCAGGTGATGTTTGCATATCTCAACCTCGGACGACGAAGATACACTGTCTGATATCTATGCACCAAGTTCTGCATTTATATGGAGAAGGCCACTTAGAGCAAGCTTCGATCTCGACAATATTATACAGGCAATCTTCGGGGAGAAGCTCATAGTGGAACATACACGACAGTCAACTTGTAGAGAGAGGCGGTGTAACTATTATCGATATTTGCGCAATCGTTTCCTTTGTCGGAGCCTTGAAACATCACTTTCGTACAGGGCTGCATAACTATCCGTCTGCGACCGCAATAACCGGCCATACACGCCAGCGGTTTTTTGTTCATGATGTTGAGCGTTTGGAATTATATCTATGTATTTACAGGTGCTGACACCATTGTCCGTACATCATCCAGATTCCAGAAACAACTGTATTGATCAAGTCAGCGATGAGTTGCGTATTGTGCCATCAACAACGCCAACGGCCCAATGCGAAATCAGAAACACGACTCACTGTTCAATTAATAGTATTAGTAGCCCCCGGATCCGCAAGGCAGTACAATAGACCTTCAATCTATTGTCATTACAAGGTGAGTAATGGGACGCAAACTGAACTGCTTGTACTCACATTCCAGGCGCATTGAAAGCCTTTGCAGCAGTCGCTGTCTGTGTTGCAACGCTGTCTCAGTGTGCTGCATGCACTGACAGACATGCATGCCGTTAAAGCAGTAAGGACGACGACGAAGGGGAGACGCATGATTTATGCGAAGTGATACGAGCCTTGTAAGTTGTAACGAGGAATATCACTGAGGTGAGGGGTACGCTAAACACGGCTTGCTTTTATGTCGTGAACATAGTGTTGTGGGAAAAACATTGGTTTGGAAATTTGCTTGCACCTGGTGATTCATGAATGAAGAACCTTGGGGATTCAACGTTCAACTATTGGCTGAGTAGATTGGTTGCGCCCCGAATGATAGAACTTGGTAGCGAAGATTATAGAAATTTAACTATTTGGCTTAACAGATCGGTTGTGCCTGGTAACCGTTAACAACGAGTGACCAGTCCCCTGGGACATCATGCGTCATTATTGAGGATGTCGGAAGCACATATTGGAGGTGAAAATGGAGTTCCAGGATAGACAATCCGTAACTCAGCCTTCATGACTGCAAGCGCTTGCAAGTGAGACAAGCTCCTTCATGCCTCTGCGACGTCACACCACCAGATTGTAACACAAAAAGGGGATTGTGTCCGAGTCGTTAACGACGGATTGCATCATTCACTTTCGCCCGTGTATTCTGAAGGATATCACAGCACAAGGCGAGATGAGATCGGCTGTTAAACATTCTGGATTGATGTTCACCCTACGACGCACTCTATGTATCTGCTCCAACTCATTATCCTTCGAATATTCACGCATTGCCGGTGGATATTGTCCAGCCCCAATCCAGAGTCCCCAGATACCTGTCAATAATTTCGTCATGATAAATACCGATGAGAACAAAACACTGGGACTAGCTTGGTAATTTATTAGGGCTAAAAAGTGCCGTGTTCGCTGTCTTAAATGATTGGTCCAAGTCGCTGTTGAAATCTCGTGCTGGATTTAGGTCACTCAATAAAATTGACCACACGCACTCTAATTCCTGTTAAACATCCAACATTAGTGCATTTCCATCGAGACCATTATTCACAGCAGATACCTTACAAACGATTTTCTACATCCAAATCTCCCAGAGCATACAGACTCCGTGAGCCATTCAACCGAATTTCAACGTCACTCCTAACCTTGGTGAGGCTTTTGCACTTATATCAAGCGATTGATATGTCGTCCTCGAGGCGCACGGCACTCCTTCAACGAGTGGTGGTTCACATATTCAGACTCCTCCACAGCTTTGAGCAGATGTTCATGGAAGTAGATCCCTGGCTCAGCAGTTTATCTAAGTAAGCAGGTGGATGGTCCGTGCAAGATTCGAACATACTAGTTGAACCATGCCTCCTGCGAATGGCAACCGAAGCCGCAAGTACATGCAAAAACTGGGGTTCCCGACTTCGTCTTGTGGAATAGTCGTGGTCTGATGGTTTACTTGCACTTGGGACATCGTGCGCACCCATCCTCAGCAAATGTCCAATTCCATAAGGGAAAAAGATTGAGCTGACCAGAGAGAATCTCGTCTTTTGAACCTTTGCAAAGTCCGAGGTCGAGGAATCCTTGTACAACTTGTCGTGGTGTAGGCGGTGCTAACCCAGCCTGAGTGAGCTTGATATGGCACGGTTGGTGCTTGACATAGTGATACAGAGGCTGCATCGGACTTGACGAGGTGAGGTCGAGGCTTGACACTGTCTAAAAACCAACATCAGATCGACAGATACAAGATGTACATTACTGATTGACACAATTCGAGCCTCACGTTCGATCTCGAGATTGAGCGGAGCATCACCTACCAGACCACGAAGACACGCTTGAATATCACCATTGTAGGTATCAGCACTCGCCCATGGTCACACCGCACACGAGTTCGGGACCGCAAGAGATGAGCCCCTCTTGGTGAACTGTCATATCTGCGTGCATCACACTATATCGTCATGATATCCATGGTGACCCCAGAGAATGTGACAAAAGCGAGTTAGCAAATGGAGGTGGATATGGGTTTAGTACTCCTCATTCTGTTCCTCTTCGCCTTCCTCTTATTCTACTTCTACTTCTTTGGTAGACTTAATGGTAGAGTAACTGCGATACGGTCATAATTCCACTGACCAGTCAAAATTCCGGGAGGGTTACAGCAAGATTTCAGAATACGACATCTAGTAACGGCATGCTGAAGGTTTCGCGGCATTGGGTTCGAAATAGGCTTCTAGAAACATGTGAGATGGAGAGAGATGTTCGCCATGAGACTTTCTCACTGCCACCGAAGCGGTCCATCAGATGCACCTGGCGCTAGTTGCAGATCTGAGTGCTTCGTCTACATAGCAATCAAGCCGTGATGTGGACACAGGATGATGGAACGTACCATAAAATATGCTTCAACAAGCAGTGCCTCAACTCCAATCCAAACGCCCACTGTTGGCTCGTGATCTGAACGCTCTAAACGGTGCTCCTCGTCAGTGATACTCTGCAACATATCCACCTGCTTACCAGCGACTTTGGATACTCACTAATATCTCTGTGCATTTTCCAATACGCAACTGATATACACAGTGCCGAAGTTGGAGGACCGGATTCCTATAAGCAGGGTATCTGGTGAGCAATGGTTTATGCGTTTATATCAGCGAGAGCTAAAGTTAAAGAAGATAGGTAGGTCGACTCACCGGGAATATTGCCGTCGCCAGACAACTCGTTTTCATTCAAAGATCCTGGGGGGGTTCACTCGCATAGATCCGCTATACTCGAGACGTCACTCGCGCCGACCATGTCTTTCCCGAGGAATCAGAAGCAAAAGACGCCAGCGGTCACACCCCGTCAGACGATACGAACCCCCTGGAATATATCAGGTGTTGTGCACCTGCCCGGGGGACGACGGATCGTGACATGTTCGTGGGATAACTCACTACGACTATGGGACTTGGAGAGCGGCGCACAGATAGGCGAGGACTGGCGAGATGAGGAGGATGAGGAGGATGAGCTAACAAGAATGGACAGCATAGCATTGTCTCCAAACGGCAAGATTATTGTCAGCGGAAGTGGGAAAGTGATGCGGGATGGGAAAGTGAAGTTGTGGGATGTCGAGACGGGAAAGGTGGTCGCAAAATGGTCAGGGCACACCAACTGTGTGATGTCAGTGTGTTGGAGTGCGGATGGTAAGCGAGTGCTGAGCGGATCCTTGGACGAGACAGCAAGAATCTGGGATGTCAAGACCGAAAAAACAATCAAAACCGGGCACCGTATGCGGGCGGTAATCTACTCACCCGATCACACACAAATTGGGACAGCAGGATTCCACGAATTTGTAGTCAAAATCTGGGATGCAAAAACGGGCAAACTGCTCGCCACACTCAAACATGATTCCCAGTGAAAACTGGTCAGTGTGGGAACGTGTGAGAGCGTGCCACATCGTGCACCGCCAGCTGAAACCGCCCTTGCACGATCTCGACAAGAAATCCGGACGAATACACGATGCAGAAGGAGTCCATATCGTGCGTCGTCATGCGAGAGTCGTTCAAGTTGTTTCTACACGATGTGGCACTCCCTTGCATTCCTTACGAGCGGTTTATATCATGCGAGAACGGTTCATATCATATTGCTTCAAGTTGCTATCATTACTATTAATAGTACGAAATACAAATACGATTGGACAGCGAAAACTTGGTCGAGCTCCTCCAGGGTCTTGCCTTTCGTCTCGAGCACGAATCACAAGATGAGCACCCAGAGAATACAGCACCATGCTGCGTACCAGCCAAAGGCACCTTGTTGTTTGAAGGCCAAGACGAGCGAAGGCCAAGTGATTGACAGAATGAAGTTCCAGAACCAAGTGGTCGCAGTAGCAAAGGACATGCTGATATCACGGATACAGAGAGGGAATGCCTCTGTGGAGTACGTCAACGGCACTGGACCTTCGCCTGGAGAATAGAAGATCGCGAAGAGGTCTGAAGGAGCATATATCAATGGCAGTATCAAGTACCAAAAGGATGACGTCAATAACTCACCTGTATTGTTGCCTGACCCGTAGGAGTCCTAGAAAGATAGCAGCAATTGCGCATATATGCACCCAGTCCTATAGTATTCAATGATATATTGGCTTGAATATTGTTGACAGAACTTACTAAGGCAAACGCTCCGAGTCAGGGTGCTGCTATTGAGGAAACTTAAGTTTTAGGACCAGGGCTCGAGTGGATTACTAGCTGCCTGCGGTGTTAACGTTAACGGTTGTATGGGGAGACATGACGGTAAGGGAACAAGAGAGGTGTTGATGACATCATGAAGACGGACTTTAGATTTGAAAAGCTTTACATGTTGCAGTGACATGCATATGCAAGCAGCAGATAGCAAATGCAAACATTGCGGAACTCATGCAGATGCAAAATAAGTGCGAGGAAAGCAGAATTCACGCAAAGTTTGTGCAAAGTTCATGCGTTTGCATGCGCTGCGCTCACAAGAAAATACTCATCATTTGCTATCAACCAGATCTACATGATCTGGCACTTTGTGTAACGTTCTCGCACGCTCTCACACGCTCCCGCACTGTCCGGTTTTCACCTGTGGTTCCCACGTACCTGATCTAATAAGATATGACAGCTGCGTGTGCTGGCGGGTCTAAAACGACGTGTTTCTAATTATCCCCAGCCAAATGAATAAAGGCTGGATACTGAGGGGCCTTCAGTGGTGCAAAGAGAGTACTGGTGGTGTTCCAGCAGTGTCGGCACCTATCTCCGTACCCCGCGTGCTAATATTAGCTCATTTAGAATGCCGCCGGCTGTCGGATGTAATGGGCGAGGCCACGTCAGCACCAATCATTCGTGCTCGCTGTTGCCGACAGCGAGCTCATGTATTTCGCGTGGATGTGCACAGATTGGAGGCGGACTTTTTTGCATAGGTAGTATTACATGTATATAATGATGTACTACGTCGTTCTACAGCCAAAATGCAATCCCTATGATGAGCTCAAACATTCAAACATCTAAGGTCACCTGTAGAATACTCTCGAGAATGCGAGCATGCTCCTCACCATCCACGTCAGCATTCTCATCGTCCTCAAGGTCCTCCAGTGCATCATCCTCGCCTTCAGGCACCATGCTAAGCCCATCAGCAACCAGCTGCGCAGGAATACAGACTATAGGGGAGCTTGCGCTGGCTCCCGGTCCTCGTTCAACACTCTCACCCGGCGTGATGGATCCTGTAAAGCCCTCCAGCATACTGATATCATGCAGGCGCTGATAGTGGTGTTCAGCGAACCGCGCGCGAATCTTGCGGTGCAAGGAAACTTGATGAGCAAGCCCGGGGTGCAAAGTTTGCAGCTGCTTCTCGCACTCTGTCAGGTACCGGCTCTCGTCGTGTAGGTAAGTGGCTAGACGTCTGATTTCGATGTCGAGACGCTGTATTTCCTCACGGGCACGGCGCGTCTTGAAATATGTATCCATGGTCAGGCGTCCGGTGGGTGTTGCCCAAGGACGTTGTGATATGTCTTGACGTGCATCACGGAGGAGATCGAAGTCGGAAAGAAAGGCGTATTCAACGACTTCCTCCCATGAAAGGGAGGCACGCGGGGGGCGTAGTGCTCGAGCAGCAGTGTTGTACCTGTCTAGTGCCGTCCGAATGGCCGCTGACCGTACTTGCAGCGCCTTGCCAATGTGTTTGCGCAGTTTGTAGCCTGACAATGCCATCAATATTGAGTAAGACACAAGCATCAAAACTCACCCGTCCCCGCTTGATTCATCTTCGAAAGTTCAAAAATTCGAGCAACAACCAGACCCTCCAGATGGTCCAGCGCACGCTGAAACTTTCGGTTTGCCACTAGACGACCCACATCTTTCCACTCCTGGTCTTCCTGTTCCCATCTACGAGTCACGCCGAGCTTCGTTTCAAGTTCCTGGACAGCCTTGAGGTCCTTCTCGTAGTTTTCCATGGCATGCCTACGTGTCGTCTCGATCCTGTTCGTTGACGCGATATCATGGGGTCCGAACTCTACAGTGCTTGGCGTAGTGACGGTCCAAGCTGCAGTAGCAGCATCGAGGTCCTTCCTAAAAATTCGTTAGTAGTCAGCGAGCAGACAAAAGACCCTTACTCACTTGCTACCTGATAGATTCAAGAGTTTTTGCCAGTATTCCATCTGGATGGTCTCGTGGTTCGGTTCATGACTCAACGATGTGAGATAGGCTCGTTCCTCGGCCAACCAGGTGTCAAAGACACTCTTGTCCTCGAGGCCAAGCTCATGCATGAGCTTGGGCAGGGAGTTGGTGCCGTCAGAGATGATGCGGAGCGCCTGCTTGTAGTTGTTATATAAGAATGTACCTGGATACGAAAAAATCACATGTTATTCTGAGCACGCTGGTGATCGATTAAAAGACTTACTAAGATTTGCATAGATCTCATAATCATCGTTATGTTCAAAGTAATGGGCGATAGCTTGACGCCGGTGAAACACGCTCGCGTATCGCACAGAGGAGGCAAGTGCATTCGACTTCGAAAATGTCCGTTCGCAGCCCTCGAGGTCTTCCAGCCCAAGGCCATCCACATATGTGGCGAGATGGTCAAGCTGACAGAGACGTTGGTGGGCGTGTCCATGGAATGCCCCAACAAGTGAGGTATGATTGAGTTCCCGTGCGCGCTGACCTAGTGAACTACGGCTGAGTGTAGTCTTAAAGCGACAGCCGATGTCGTAACCTCCTCCAAGGTTGCTGCCGAATGTATCGAGAAGTTTTGAGACGACGGCTAGAGGGTACTTTGCTCTGAAAAATGGGTCAGCAAGCAAGCAAACAGGGGATTAATGACTTACTGTTCTCCACTTTGGACCATGTCGGCTATCACGAGCGAGAAACCATGCCTGCAGATAGACATAAATATACCTGACTCGTCGAAAACACCCCACATCTTCTTCGTCTTTTCATCTCGCATATTTTTCCAGCGTCCTGCGCAAGGATTGTCCTGCAGTCAAATTAGCACAGTGTGAAGCTAAGAATGAAGAAAATAAACCTTGTCGTCATCAAGGGATAACATATCGGCAGGCGAGTCTCTTGCAAACTGTTCGATGTACTCGTTTAACAAATAACGGTCGCCACCGACAACTTGCGTGGTGGGTAACTCTGATGAGCGTTGGGCCAAGGGAGAATTGTCGTCAGAGTCCAAATCATCCTGCGTCGACTTTTTCAAGACTCGCTTAAGTGAGTCATTGCCGTCCATTGCATAGAGTAAGCTGAATTTCATGGGGACTTCACCTTGCAGTTTGTATGTACATGCTGGACAAGCATGCTTTAAGCGCCAGTGAGGGTCTCCACGGCGAAGTGCCTCGTCGACTAGCATATTGACACTGGTGAGAATCTGTAGGTAAACGTCCAGCGCAATCGAGAATTGGCGAGATAGATAAGCGTAAAATTGAACCTGTTCAATGTTTTAAATCATTGCGTGTTTGGGTGTTGACATAGACATTAGGTACGCACCCCTTGCAAGTCACACAATGTCTTTACGTAAGCTTGAATAGAGAAATGAGGATTTCATTGATGTGCGGTGTGATAGAGTTCGAGGGCCTGTACTGTTAAGCCAGTAGTTGGACTTATGGGTGAGGAGGGAATGATGCCTTGTCGTACAAGGGCTGATGCAATAAACGAGTCCGTCGATAGTATGGTGAGAGGAACTTTCTCAGCGCCTATCATATAGTATGTCAGCACAGTGCATGTTTATGACGTACATCGTACAAAATACATCCACCACCTTGATCTGGATGGAACCCTCCGCTGTGTTCTCCCGGGCCTGAGAAGTGTTCTTATGGTGCGCAAAAAACCCGCAGTCGCCGCTGGCAGCATTGCTAATTGAGAGATGCCAATCGAGGTAGGCCTTTGTCAAGGCTGGCATCTGTCTATCGAATGCCTCGGTGCGCCGCCGTGTCCTATCACGCCTCGTCCTGTAGTCTGGCCTGCGAGACTTTGTATTGGCATTTCTGGGGATCATCTCAGTAAGTACTACGAGTTGTGTGATATATTATGGTACTCACATGTTGTAGAAATCCCCTAGTAGCTCTCTGGTAAGCTCGTGGAACTCTCCTCCCGCATGACTGATGTCCACTGGCTCAGATCCATCGAGGACGTTCATACCGGGGTCATTGTGAGTCTCGAAATCGAAGTCGTCCTGTTCTCGAAGCGCCTCAAGTGCGCGTTTCTCATCTGCTGTCAGTGCTAGGTAATTTTATTTGGTCAGGTTTCATACTATCACTTGGAAATTATAAGCTCACCTTCTGCGCGAGCTCGTTTGCGGATATTCGTACCAGCTGCCCGCTCAGCAATCTTACTTGGCCCTAGGACCTCTCGTGTTGGATGCAGCACACGGTCCCGATGAGACACAACGTGGCGGATCCTTGAGCTGGTAAGTCCCGTCTTGTTGCGTGGTCGTTTGTTGGGGCGTCCTAATGCCATTGACAAATATGATATAGATTTACCTTTGCGCGATCAACGACCACTCACCTGCACGGCGCACGTCAGATGCACGTGACTAACTTATCTTTCAGCGCTGTTGCCCACTGCCAGTGATCTACGACATATACCATCAGCGTGATTCTGTGAGGATCATGAATCAGAGTATTGCTACACCACCAGGTACGTTACATTATTCCTCCACTCACATTCTGGTAACTGATCAATGTAGCTTCTGAACCTTCATCTCAGAATCGCAGGCACGCCGCGGGGACCGTCACTCGCACATGGACAAGACGTACTGTGCAGACTCGTTCCCACCGAACCGTCACCCGCACAAAGACGACGGTCGATGCCACAGAGACCAAAACTGTCAGTGAGAAGACCCGCAAAGTCGACTCTGACATCACGCAGGCAATAACTGGCCCAGTAAGTGTCCCAGCCAGTAGTGCGCGCAGTTTTATCTGACATGCCACGTTAGTCGAACATTCCCGCTGTCTTGAACACTGACATTACAATACCGAGTCTCACCCAAGATTTTCCGCGGGATAACTCTCCCTCCCCAACCGACTCGACATTCACACAAACACCTCCTACCACTCCAAGTTCATCAAGTTCATCGATTTCATCAGCGCGATCGAGTGATGTGCTATGGGATCAGCTTGAGGATTTATCAGAATATATGAATGCTGTTAGTTTAGGTTGAGATCGAGTGTCGCCTGCGGGACTTTTGAGGATGTAGAACATTATCTATGGATGCTACGAAATAATGATAACACCCTAACTTCGCATTATCAGTGTGATTGACTCTTGAGTGCTGCAGAACCATGTCTGACATTTGCACGATAATTTGATGTATTGAATACCAATAATTCTAAGGCTACATAGAACAGAGTTTGTGTCCCGAAGTGTGGCTGAATGTTGCTTCAGTTTATTGGTGTATTTTCAAATCTTGCTCTACGAGAAATTGACTCGGCTTCAGCTCATCTCTCTGCAACAACTGCAACCACCATAAAACCATGCGTCCCACCATGTATAAAACTGCAGAGGAGCGTCATGAGGCTCGACTAAAATCAAAGAAGGATAGCTATGCGCGGTAGGTATCAGCCTTTCTTATCACTTCAGCATGTAACGCACCTTTAGTAGTCACCGACTTCAAGAACAAGTGAAGTCCCGCACACGATGGCGACGTCGTCGAGGGGCAGCTGCGGTGAGTACTCATCTGAATTTGACTTATGTGCATGTTGCCAATAATATCTGCACTTAGGGTACTCAAGAACTGCTTCAGCGTCTCGATAGCTTATGGTTAACGTTAGGTTACCGCGATCGGACTCTCCAACACAAATTCCTGGAGTCACATGGGATGTCGATCGTATCCGAGGTAGACCGAGAGGGTTGGGATTCAGTCAAGCCAGGATGTGAGGCAGGGCTCGCAGAGGTAAAGGACGTGGTGAAGCAGGCATATGATTTGCACACTGAGGCCCGTGATATTGATGGGCCTCTCACAGATCAATTGCGGGATGGAATAGCATCTGTTGTAGATGCGGTAGATGTGCACGTTCGTGCATGGGAGGAGTTGTTGTCAATGATGGAACACGGAGTCGATACATACTTTGATGCGCTTCGCTATGGTTCATTGGTCTGGCAAAGTACCGCATAATGCGCGTTCAGTATGCAATATCATTGTTTTCAAGTAAAGAACACTAAATTTTCGACCGCGAGCAATGACATATCAGCCTCTCCTACCCACATGCAAGCCGCTCCCTCTCCTACCCACATGCAAACCGCTCCCGCTCACCATATCAGTCAGAAGCTAAAGACATACTTTGGATCTTCCTCCCTCACTTCCTGCACCAGACTTGCCCCCACCAAGCTGCGGTATCGGTTTAGTCACGGCCATACGATCCTGCTGGCGAATCAAGTACAGAAGGCCAAGTGCATGGTATTGAGTGATGTAGCTCGTTGAAGGGATAGGTTGGTGACTGCTGTTCGAATTTCCAGACAAGCCAAAATTAAGGTAACCACTGCCGGATGATCCGGGGAAGAAGGATGATGAAGACTTTGAGCTGACACCTGGACGACATGGATGGTGGATGACCTGGACATTTGGTCTTGTGTAGTATGTAAGTCACGTGGGTCCAGGCCCTGCAGAAGCCATGCACATTGCGGAAGCAAAATGGACTGCGGAAGCAAAATGGACCCAAGTTGAGCTAAAAATAACGATCATTGTGTGTCGTTGTAGACGTCGCCGAAGAGCCTGAACTTCGTTCCGCGTCAACCTCAAAGCAAACTGCATCCCAACTTCCTGCATCCCAACTTCCTGCACTACCTCTCGCACTTAAGCGTGAACCACCTCATTCTTCCATTGTTCGGCTCATCGCTCCAAATCAGTTCTCATTATACTCCACAATATTACAGCCGGCTAGCTCAATTGACAGCAACACAACTCGCTATCGTGTCCATCCTCAATCAGCCCCAGGCTGATGAAATGTATGGGATTCAGATACCTGATGTGTACGAACGCGTGAGACAGGTAATCAAGACCACCGAGGAAGAATTCAGGTAAATGGATCGCGTTCATCATCGTAATGGTCCATGGTTTATTTTGTTGCGGCCAGCACCGACATAGAGTGGCTTCTTGAAGAAATATACATATTCAGCCCACTCGATGATGATCGCATGCGCTCACGCCTCGTGCATCAGTTTAGTTTCACCATTTGTACAAATCAGTGAGTCTCACTTGAAGCAACGGAGCTCTCCTTGTTCGTCCTTGCAATATACTAATGTGCGCCGCAACTAGAACACAATTATCTTATGGTCATGCGACCCTTCTCATTGCCTCACTGGAAGCCGCCTCCTCAGGGGATTTGAACTTGCACGTGATGCTGGCAGATGCAAGACATTACTACGGTGAATTTTTTTTTCCATGATTTGGCAAATATCTTGACGTGTTCTTTGGTTGACAAACAGCGCGTCGTGATTTTTTGCACGGTGCAGTTTTTTGGCCAGCGTGGCTGGTACAAATGCTCACATCCATGGATGGCTTCATCTTCCCTGATCCATTGTGTGGTGACACTGGCTTTGGCTTTTTAGGTGAGTCTCTTACAATGGTAAAATGTGCGCTGTGTAATAAAGTCATCGCTAGATCTCAATATCAGCAAGGATCTTGGAACGACAGGCCCAGTCCCTCCTGCACACGACATTCACCACTCCTCTCAGCCTCCGTTCCAATATTCCGAACCTTTTCGACAATTTGACCCTGGTCGCCCTGATCTCAGTTTCACTGCGTCACTGAACTGGGATGATCCCTCACTGTACTTCGGACTCCCACCTCTCAGCGCTCTGCTCAATGAATCTCACGGCGTGTCAATTCCTCCTGTATCGAGTGATATCCGGGCCACACTCACTTCAAGCAACACGGCCCCAGTTGAGGACAACACGCTCGAAAACTCAACAGAACTGGTCGGTAGTCTGACTCACAATACTGACGCGCATTCGACAATCGACGATACACAAGTAGATGGCCAGCAGCCCATTGAAGGCTCGCGTACGATGATTGCTCAACACAGCTCAGCTGCTCCACGCGTAGATTTGGCTGAAGCCAACAACTCTTCCTGGGCAGCACGGAATCCCGACAGGCCTGTTCTCGCATCGCGGGAACCCCTTACCACAGCGCAAAAAGCTCGTGCCAAGGCACAACGAGCATCACGCAAGATTACCTCCCAGCAACGCAAAGAGGCTGAAGATATGTTGAACAGCGCAATTCAACAAATGCTTGCCAAAGAAGCGCAGAAGGTGAACGACATCGCACTTGAGCATGGCGTGACTGTCGAGAAGGTCAAGAAGTTGATGGGAGGGATCAAAAATTACAAGAGCAGCCGCAGCGCACAACTTGAAAATGCCCTCATGCACGTGAAGGCAGAGCAAGTCAACAAAGGTGAATTTCTGTGCGTCATTCTCAACTGATTTATCTATTGTGTCTACAGATCTCCCGCGTGGTGCGAAATTTGGAGCTAAGGATCTCCGGATGTTGGTGAAGGAGGATACCGCCATGCAGAACTTGACAGAAGGAGAGAAGCAACAATATATCGACAACTTAATCGAACACCGCGCTATGCAGAACATGAGTGTTCGTGCGACGAACGCCTCCGCTGCACGTGATGTCCAGTCAACCCTTGATAATGTTTTTAAGATGGTAAGTTGCTTGATTTCACCAAGTCCTCACAACTAATGAACTCGTAGCTTGATAGTCTAGCAGTCCGGACCGGAATCTATGCCTGCGTGTTTGCCTCACGTGGACATGTATACGATACAGCTCAGGCAACGTGGTTCGGGACAGACAATGTGATGGATTTCTGGGAGGACGTCCTGCAAATGGAGGCAGACGAGATCGCAAGAAAACTGGAACAGTGGGCGTGCATGGCAGGTCGAAGTGTGTTTCACTTCACATTTTCACTTGCATATCTGCTGACTCTTACATTATCCTAGGCCTCGACGAACGTGAAACGGTGCAAAACATGCAACGTGTATGCACACGGCTCCTCAATTCAGGCCTAAGTACGTGTTTCGTTTCTCGCACTCACTCGATACTAACTAATTTTTTGTCAGAGACTGTAGCTAAGAGACGTGACATCCGCATCAACTATGCAAGCTTCGATACTGCTATCAAAGAGAAGCTCGGCATAGACCTGAGGGGCTGGCCTGAAGGCATTCCATTCCAATCCCCCACCAGCTTGAACGATCTCAACTCCCTCCTCAAGGTCCGTTGTGCACTGAAGGATGGCTCATGCCACTGGTTCCGCATGAGTCCCCGGCAACGCGAGGAGTATAATGCTCTGCTTGACGCACACCGCAAGAAAGGAGAGGTGGTTACCAAGCCACGCAAGAAGCGCTCTGATGCAGGGGTACCTCGCAAACGAAAGGGCAAGGAAAATTCGCACCAGAGAAAGAGGGCACGAGCACCAGGGTCATCAATGCAGGCTCCAAAGAGTGCTGAGTTTGTTTGCACATCCGAGGAGGAGAGCAGCGAGGACGAAGCTTGACTTAGTAGTAGGGTGTTGACTTTGTAAGGTTTGGACCTCAAGAACCCTGTTATTCTACCTACGAAGCATTGCAATTACAGTACTCTACGTATATCTATATATCAGTGAAAGTCCGCCTCCAATCTGTGCACATCCACGCGAAATACACGAGCTCGCTGTCGGCAACAGCGAGCACGAATGATTGGTGCTGACGTGGCCTCGCCCATTACATCCGACAGCCGGCGGCATTCTAAATGAGCTAATATTAGCACGCGGGGTACGGAGATAGGTGCCGACACTGCTGGAACACCACCAGTACTCTCTTTGCACCACTGAAGGCCCCTCAGTATCCAGCCTTTATTCATTGGCTGGGGATAATTAGAAACACGTCGTTTTAGACCCGCCAGCACACGCAGCTGTCATATCTTATTAGATCAGGTACGTGGGAACCACAGGTGCCGGTTTTCACTGGGCATGATTTAACAGTTACCAGCTTGGCCTGGACGTCAGACGGAAGGAAGCTTATCTCCGGTTTCATCACACGACCAAATTAGGAATATATGACACAGCCACTTGGGAGCAGATCGCCAATTTGGAGGGTCACGCTGGTCACAGCCATTACCTTGTTTCAGAACGACCGCCTCCTTGTGAGTGCATCATGGGATAAAACAGTGCGTCTATGGAATCTCGATACCAACCTCCAAGTCGGTCCACCCCTCAACACGAAGATGGAGTAGACTGCGCAGCCCTTTCCGCTGATGGAAAAGTGCTGGTCACTGGTTGCCAGGACAAAAATGCATATGTATGGGATATTCACGCCATCCTCAAAGACGCTGGCCTTGAGGACCTACTATCCATTCCTCATGTGAGTTCAGATATGTACATCGTGCTTTTCGAGCCACGCTAATCTCTCACTTGCAGGTCCCAACTCAAAAGTCGTTAAAGGACGTACGTGACGTATATCTTTACCCTGTCCAATCATCTTAAGATCGAATCCTAGACTGATGCCACCAGACGTCCACCTATTCAGGCCCGTCGAATACCACCAGGTTTTTTCGATGACACCCAAGTGAGTCCTCTAGCTTTTTGACCAGCTCTTTTTCTGACCTCTTCAGCCCTCTACAGCACGTGGTACACATACACTCTCTCCTGCACACAATCCTCGCAATCTCACTCATCCTTATCTGCCATTCCACGTGCTCTTCTCGCACGGCTTTCGTCATTCATGCACCCCCCTGA